CCCTGAACGACTCAAACTCCCTGAACGACTCAAACTCCCTGAACGACTCGAACTCCCTGAACGACTCGAACTCCCTGAACGACTCGAACTCCCTGAACGACTCGAACTCCCTGAACGACTCGAACTCCCTGAACGACTCGAACTCCCTGAACGACTCGAACTCCCTGAACGACTCGAACTCCCTGAACGACTCAAACTCCCTGAACGACTCAATCTCCCTGAATGACTCAAAGTCCTCGGACGACTCAAACTTCCCAACGACTCAAACTTCCCAACGACTCAAACTCTATGAATGTCCCTCCACTGAGGGTCTGAGGCTCACCTGCAGGTGAATGAGGGGGACCTACCTGAGCTCCTCACTCAGATTAAAGCCTGGAACGTCTCTCTGAAGTTTAGAATGGAGAACGTTCTCCACATGAGAAGTGACACATCTTCATCAACACAAGAGCAGTTGTTCCACGTTGTTGGAGAAAAATTAATGCCGAGTCAACGTTTCTGACACAAACTAAATAATAACAAACGTGAAATCACATTTTTATTCAAGTCTGAGCCAGAAAACTGTTTGAATAGAAGCTGCTTTTTTATCGTTTTCTGCAAACTTTGTTTGCTGTTTTTAAACGTCTTGAAGCATAAAAACACTGAGCACGAAATATCTGAAGACGAACATTTCATCAGGTCCAAGTTAAAAAGTGTGACACGTTAACGGCCAACAATGGAGAAGACTGGAAAAACAACGAGTTCAGTTAAAGTGTTGCGAGTTGAGGCAGAAGAAAGGCTGGTTGTAAAAACCTACCACAGCGGGCTCCACCAGCCGGCCCGGAGGAAGAGCAGCGCGGTTCATTTTGGCGATCCACTGCAGAGTTTCAACGGCGGCGTCTACGTTCCCCGCCGACACGTTGTAACGAGCCGACTCAGGAATGAACTTCAAACAGAAAAACAAGAAGTCAGTTTGTCTTCAGGACGAGCAGCAGCTCAGATCAGATGCCTTCTTCTCAAACGTCAGCTCTTCTAGGGCTATAAGCTCCGCCTACTTTCTCTGCTCCCAAAAAGAGGGCGTCACCATGGCGACCAGTAACTCAGCAGATTTTGACACATTATTCCATCATGGCCGCCCCTACAGATCTTAGAACGCTGAAGTTCAGGAAAACTGAATAAAAACCTCAGCAGGATTCAAGATCAAAAGCCAAAAAACTCCTAAAGAGCTAACAGGAAGTACTTTTAAACTGAAATTTGTAGATAATATTCAAAATAAGAGTCTGGTTCGGTCAGAGCAGTCAGAGATTCTCCAAATGTCCTTCATGAGTACGCCCTCAGAAAACCCCAAGCTCTCCAAGAACCACCACTATAACCCAGATTATTAGTCCTAATCTGACCCGTCTACCTACCCAGGTCAGCTGAACCCCCACCTGCTTCTTTATCAAGTTCTAATCCTTACCGGTGGAGGGACACACGCCGAACTTTTAAACTTTACAAATGATTGAAGTTGTTACAAAGATTTTCCAATGAATTCATTAGTTGCTCGTTCCTGTTTTGACCTTTGTTCACAGAAACACACGGACCCTCCTGCT